GCGGCGGCGGCACCGTTCCCGGCCCCGGCCTGGCTCGGCAACATCGCGGCGGGTCGCGTCGGGCCGGGCCGGGTCAGGCCGGCCCCGCCATGGCCCCGCTCTGCGCTCACGGCCCCGCTCCGCCGCCCCCGCCGCGCCGCGCCGCCCCCATATAAAGCGATACAATGTTGCCTTTTATGGAGAAGCCGCTCCTTATATGGGGCGAGCCGGCGCCCCGCCGGGAGGCGCCACGCTATTGGCCGCCGGCAGCCCGGCGCCGCCGCCCATTGGCTGCCGCCCGGCGGCCGATTTGCATACGTTCCGACCGCTTTCGCGTCACCCGCGGATTGAAACATGCACGGCGCTCTTAAAGGGGCCGCGCGCCGCATGGACGGGGCGGGCTGCGTGGGGCGGGAGGGAGGGGAATGCGACTCATCGCCCCCCGCGCCCGCCTTCCCTGTCCCCGTACCCAGGAGCTACTGTCCTCGGAGGGACCGCAGAGCCAGGCCGAGCCTCCAGCTACACGGTTTGCAGAGCGCTTCCCTTCCTCTGCTCAGAGTCAGGGAGAGCCATTGAGGCACAGGGAGGCTCTAGGCCACACGAGCATACACGCAGAGTGCCAAAACATCGTGTCTGCAGGACAGTGTACAGCCACCTCTGCCACCTCGGGAGGAGGGATGGGAGCTAGCTGCTTCCATGCAGGACTGCCTCCATCCAGCTGAATACCCAGACAGCTGTAGGAGCTCATCTAGTCCATCCCCAGCCCAGCCAGAGTGCTGCCATGCTGCCCGCAGGCCTTGTGGCACAGGGGTCTCTGCCCTCACCCCCAGCCCTCGCAGCCGCCTGCTCTTCTCTGGGTACAGCCTCCTCTGGAGCAATGTGGCAGCCGAAACAAACACCCCCCCTTGGCTTCCCCCCAGCCGTGCTCCTCCAGTGAGCACACATGCCATTTATAGCTCCCACAGGGCGCTGGGGCTCACATGCTTCCCATCACATGCCCTGGCTGCCCTGCCCCGGGGCCCAGTGCTGGCCACACCTGGTGCAGGTGGCCCACGAAGGGCTGCTCCTCTGTACCATATGTGGTAGACAGGTTCCCTGCCCAGCACGGGTGTGCAGACACCGCATGCACCAGAGCTGGGGTTCCCTTCACACCACTCTTCAGGCCTGGAGCTCTTGGGCTGAAGGGTGAGCCCCTCAGAGGCCTCAGGCCTGGTCTAAGGGATGTGCTCAGAGACATCTATACTGAGGCTGGGTTGGGACGGCAGTAACAGCCCCCTCCTAGGCCTCTCTAAATGGAAATGACAGGGAGACACAAATCAGGCAAAGCCCTCAACAGCAGTCCCACAGTACCTGACAAGAGCAGGGTAAGCTAGGTGCTGGGCACAGTCCTCCTACAGCTGCTTGCGTACCCACCAGGAGATAGGCTCAGAGCCAGGCTGGATAAGAGAGCTACAACACGTGCTAGCAGCCAGGCTAAATCAGCAACACCTACACAACAGACCAAAGGAAGCCTAGCAGCCTTGGTTTAAGCTTAAGTGCAGCTCCTGAGCCACTCCCCTGAGTGGGAGGTCCCAGGTGAGGCTGCTTTGAGCAATTTGGCCCCATTGGTTCCCCACAGGGCCTTAATGCACCCACCCAAGCACCACGGGGCAGTAGAAGAAAGCCAAGTGAGCGGTGGGGTGGGCCTGTGCCCCATGGCACTGCTCATGGACCTCTGGGCGTGCAGGGGCTGAGGGCAGCTGGGGAACATTACAGCAACAACAGCTCTCAAGGGCATGTGGAGACGCAGGGCCCTGGAGATCCTTATGCTGCAGGCATTTGGCAGCTGGGACAAGGAGTGCCTGCTGCTTGCACCTCGTTCTGTACCATACACGCTTGGGGTTGGGGTTGCTGGGTGGCCCCTTGCTGTAATGCAGCCAGCCATGCTTCTCTCCAGCCCTGGGTATAGCAGGCTGTCTTCCTTTCCCAAGGCTCTACGTTCCTTCCACTTGGGTTTGGGCAATGGGACCCCATCCCTGTCAGCTGTCCAAGTCCTCTCCTCCAGCAGGGGCTGGAGTGGGATGCTCCAACAGCCCGCTCCCCTGTGCTGCATTTAGCTAGCGCCCTATTTGTTCAGCCCGCTGTTTTCAATTAGTTTGGCCAACATCTGCCTTGTCCCTGAGGATACAGAGCTTTTTCATGACATCACTCCCAAAAATACACAGCCCCAGCCCCCAATCTTTCTGCACCTTCTGGGTCTGGAGTTTGTCCTAGCTCTGGTGCCTTCCCATACGCACGTGGTGGGCAGGCACTGGAGCCCTCGCCATCTATCGGGGTGAGGCTGAGCACCCTATCCTGACACTGCTTCCCATAGCTCCAACTGCTCGTGTCTTAAACAAGGGCAGCAAGGCAGGATGCACACCAAAGGGGCGCTTACTGGATCTGACATACAGGCTCTGCTACAATCCACTGGAGAGGACTCCAAGGGGAAACTGAGGGCACATCCTGAGCCCTCCAGCCACAGCGGCTCCTGCTGTTGCACTCAGTGCCAGCAGCTGCAGTCAGGCCATTTGGAGGAGCTGTGGAGGCAAGGGGTCAGGGTGCTGACTGCCAGAGTCCCTCAGCTGGCTGCAGCCACATCTCATCTCCCCATGGGCTTTGGTGTGCAGTGGGATGCGATAGGTCAGCTTGATGGTTGGACGTGATGATTGTGAAGGTCTTTTACAACCTACACGATTCTAGCAAATTTCCAGAAGTGAACCCTTCTCATGCTCTGCATGAGCCTTCCACTGGCCAACAGGGGATCCCACACAATGGAGCATTGATGGTCAAAGCATAGCCAACTTCAAGCAGGTTGCTCAGGGCCCATCCAGTCCAGGGCTGAGCATCTCTGGTGTTGGAGAGCTCACAGCTTCTCTGCGACTGTCCCAGACCCTCACTGCCACGCACAGGGGACACATTTGTCATGCTGCAGGGACTGCCCCAGCACAGGGCTTCTCCTTGCCAAGAGATGCACAAGATGTAATGGCAGGAATCTCCTGCAGACCTGGGTTCCTAACCCCAGGAAGAAAGATGAAGCAGGCAGTGACAGCAGTGCCACCAAAGACACCGAAAAAAGAAAGGAAGAAAAAAAAAAAAAAAAAAAGCCTTCTTTATTGAGAGCAGCACATATAAACCCAACAAAACCCAACCATTCTTGGCTGCGGTACCCTCCGCTCAAGCAAACAAACTAACCCACTCTAGGCTGCATTCCAGTAACAGAAATACTATGGTGGGGAGGAGGCAGCGTGCCGGGGAGGGGGGAGGAGGAGGAGAGCGCTGCCCCCAGGAGTCGTACAAAAAAAGGCACGGGGAAGGGATGTGGGGAAAGGTGGTGGAGCGTCTCCTTCATATGCCAGGCACTTCGGGTTCCTGATGGCGGGCCCATGCCCGCAGGCATGCCTAGCACAGACGGACGGACAGATATGCACGTGGCGAGCGGGGAGGGCGAGCCCGGTGCCAGCAGCCCACGGGCTTTTTGGACCCATGGAGGAGAGGGGTGTGTGAGGGGAGTACACTGGCTTGTGCTTTGAGTCCAGCAGCCGCTGGTGCCGTGTGTTGGGGTCAGGCTCAGCGAAGGCTGCGGGAACGCTGGGGGCAGCTGCAGAGCCCCCGCCCGCCCCGCCGCATCCTTCCCCAGCAAGGTGCTCAGGCTTTGCTGTCAGCTGGGCTGTCCCCGAGGGCGGCTGCGAGCTCACTGAAGGAGGGTCGGTCCTTGGGGCTGGGCGCCCAGCAGCGCTGCATCAGCTTGGCGAGGCGTGAAGGGCAGCCCTCGGGCTGCAGGAGCTTCGTCTTTCCTGACTGCAGACCTGGCAAAGAAGCAAAAGCCAAGGGGATGTTGGGAGGAGGCACGATCCCCTCTATGGGGAGCGAGGAGCATCCACCACGCGGACCTTCAGCCCCATGCCCATCACACGGCCTGGCTGGCCCCAAGAAAAGGACGGAGGCCAGAACACACGAGGCGCACCGCATACCTGCTAGGACCTCATCATCCGCCAGCGGGGCGTACGGCATCTCCCCCTGCGTGAACACCTCCCACATGAGCACCCCGAAGGACCACACGTCTGACTTGGTGGAGAACTCGTCCTCCAGCACGGCTTCGGGCGGCATCCAGCGCAGCGGGATCCAGGCCTGGCGGAAGTGGTAGTACTCGCTGCCGGCAGGACAGTTGCAGGTGGTGAGTGAGATGGGCACCATGCCGTATCCCCGCCCCCCGCCGGGATCCCGGCTGACCTGTTGTACACATCCTTGCTGAGACTCAGGGCTGAGACCTTGACCTGCCTCTGGGCGCTCACCAGGCAGTTCCTGGCCGCCAAGTCCCGGTGCACGAACCTGCCGTTGGAGAGGTGCTCCATCCCCAGGGCCACCTGCGTGCAGAGAGACACCTGGCCCCAGCGAGACGTTGGCACCGGCAGCCCTCCCCAGCAGCCCCAGTGCTGTGGTGCTTTCAAAGCCACACGCTCACCTTGTGCTTGGTGCTGAGGGGCTGAGGCTTCAGGGACTCATCCTTGCTCTTGGAGATTCTCAGGAACTGCTTCAGGTCCCCCTAGGAGACAGACAGAAGCTCAGAGGCAATGCTCTACCAACGCTCATTGGTCCCCATAGTGTCTAGACATGGTGAGCTCACAGGGAGCCTTGTTTCATGGGCCATGGCCCTCCTGGTCCCTGTAGGGCAAGCTAGTATCTCCCTAAGGGCTAAGTTCATGGCAAGCAGGCCCGTGCTTCCAGAAGGTCATCCATGCTCCAAAGGGCTTTCTATCCCACCAGCCCTAGTCTCCCCTGACAATGATCCACATCAGGCTCAGGAGCTGCTGGCAGGACCCTTACCAAGTCCACATACTCCAGGACCATGTAGTGCGGCTCAGCCTCACGGCACAGCCCCAGCAGTCGCACCACGTTGGCATGGTTCAGCTTGCCAAACATCTCTGCCTCGCGCCTGAAGTCCAGCTGCAGCTGCTCATCCCTTGTCTGCAGGCTCTTCACCAGCACCAGCGTTTCGCCCTCGCCATCCTCTGCACCTTTTGCCTTGGCCAGGAAGACTTCACCGAATTCCCCCCTACCTGGAAGCGCAGAGCAGCACAGAGGGATACAGCATGCATTAGGACAGGTAGCCTGGCAGCAGCAGGACCTTCTGTGCCCCAGTGCACTGAGTTTCCTGGCTGGCACACACACACTGGAGGTTAGACCAGGAGTTTCTTGTTGAGAAGCAGGACAGGGTGGCCCAGCATACCCAAGGTAGTGATTGTCTGCAGGTTGGAACGAGGGAAGTGCATCTTGTCAGCGGCACTGTGCCGCTTGCTGGCCCCAGAGCTGCTGCCCAGGTTGGTCAAGGCCACCTCCTCCTGGATCTCCGCTGTCGTCTGCCCATTCTGCAGCAAAGTACCACCTGCAAGGGATGCACACACGGCTTCAGCATCCTGCCAGGCTGTGCTGGCAACATCACACTGGGCACCAGCCCCTTCTGGACACCTCAAGCACCCTAGCCTGCTGCCTAGCCCCACAGAGTGCCCTCCCCACAGCTGCTCCCTGTGGGCTCACGTCTGGCCCCACCTCTGCCAGCCCTGAAATCAGATGCTGAGCAATGGCTTTGGTCCCAGAGCCAACTAGCCCCATCTGGCCTTGTCTGTCCCACACCACGCTGACATCCCCCAGGGGTGGCTACATCACAACTGCCTGTGGATAGAAGTCTGCACAACCAGAGCACATCAGACATGAGGTGGAGTGGGCCCTGCCCATGCTAACATCCAAGAAACCCTTGGGTCCATCTGACCTGACCTTCTGCTCCTGTGATGCTTACCTCCTTGTATCCTGGAACCCGCCACACCAGGGCAGCTTGGACTTTCTTTTACCACCTGGATTAAAGCAGCACTAAAGAGTGCTGTCCTTACAATTAATACCAGCAGACTTTATGATTAGGAAGCCCACTAGAAACTTCCCTGACACAAAGAGAAGCGAGTGAGCAGCAGAAATCTTTACTGCCATAAGAAAGCAGAGAGATCTCTGTTTGTAGCAAAGAGAATGTGGTGTAGAAAGCAAACAGTGCCTTTTTGTGCACGTACTGCTTGTATCAGACCAAGCACTAGGAAGCAAAACTTTTATGAGCTGAATGTAAAGTGCAGAGCACAGCACTGAGCTAAGGTGACACACGTGCAGCATCACCGTGCATTGCTGAGCGCACTCCATCTCAGCTTGCCTAGTGGCAAGCAACAAGAAAACACCTGGTCGTACCTGGCTTTGCCATGGGCAGGCTGGTGCCATGAAGACTGAGATGTGCTAACTTCAGAGCTGTGGCTACTGACACACTGTCCTCGCCCACAGGCTGGAGCAGTGCTTGCAGAAGGCCACAGCAAAAAAACACCATCTGCCCAATAAATCAAAGCTCCGTACTACTTGCGCTCACCCTGCTTCTATGCTAATTGCCAGCAGCACAGCACTTACAGGCTGTTTGAGCCTCTGCTGTCTGCGGCAGTGACTGATGGTGTCTCAAGACTAGAAGCCCGAAGCCAAGAGGATGATACAAGACCACTGCAACCGTGCCAAGAAAATACCAAAGGCTGCAGAGCAAGGACTCTGCTGCTGAGAGACAGCGCCAGTGGGTGGCAGTGCTTTTGAGCAGACATCCCCATCTTTCACAGAGCTCTGACAAGACAGGTGATAACAAAGGGACCACGAGGGATGAAGTTTCATTTGGGCATCCAGAAGTATTAAAGGGGAACCAAGCACAAGGCCCTGCTTTGCCCACCTGCCTGCACCATGTGAGCACCTCCTGGAGAAATCAGCTTGTGCCAGTGTGGAAATTCAATACTCCCATCAGATTCCAGGGCGGTTAACCTCCCAAATACCCTCCATATTCACCCAAAAAAGCAGCACAGTCAGATGGAGGGACACTGAGGAGGAGCAGAGGGTGCACATGCCACATCCATGAGGGATGTGACCTCAAAAGATGACCGACTTGTTAGGAATACATCGATTTACAGAAAATCCATGGAAAGCAAATCTGTGGCCACCTCAAATCCACAGGAAGGTTCAATCTGTCTAGCACTGGCAAAGCCAGCTGGTATCCAGGCAGGGAACTCCTATCACCAGGTGTAGCTGAGATACTTCAGGTCACCTCGCTAACCGGGGACCACAGCACAAGTGATGTTGGGGGTCATTCCATCGGAAGGAAAACACAAACCACTTCTCCAAGGGAGGCTATGGAAGTGCCAGAGAGGAGTGCAGACATCTGTGCAGCTGAGCAAGAGCTACAACTACTGAGGACATAACTCTCTGAGAGTTAACCTAGTTCCACATGAAGGGAATAAGAAAAGGTAAAGCCTACTGGCATAGAAAGAAAAATATAATAAAGGCAGATTAGAATTAAATGAGAAAAATACAAAACAAAATAGGAAACAAGAGAAAGGATTCAAACAAATCCTCTCCAAGGAAGAGGATGATGGCCAGAGTCTGCTGGCACATGGGCTGTCTGCAAGTTGTCTATGTGAAGAGCTCGCAGAGGGGACAGCACTAGAGCACAGAACTGCAGAGGAGCATCCTGGCTCTCAGAAGGTTCCACAGCCAGACTTCTCTTCTGGAGGTTTGGTTCCAACTTCAAAGAATCCATACGAGAGGGAAAACAGCTGACAAACGCCTTTGTGATATTTTGCCAGGACCTCACAGCAACTGCCAGAAATCAGGCCGAGGCGGCATGCTGGAGAACTGGTGCAGGAAGAGGTCCAGGGAACTACATAGGAAGCAAACTTGACCACTCCCCATCACTCAGAAGTCCTCCCTGGGATCACTGACATAAGAACAAACATGATGCCCAAGGAAGAACTAAAGCAGCTTTTGGAAGCGAAAATGATGCTGCAGAGGTATCTTGGGTTCAGGTTTACAGAAGAACACCTTTTCCTGGCCTATTTCTCACCTGGCAGAAGCTTCCTGCCACCAGCCACAGCCAAAACCAACAGCCTGAGACCCTAAGGGTGAGCAGCAGCCCCTTGTGTCCCAGGAGCTCCCTGCTCACCCTCATCCGCTCCACCTCAGTGCTATGGGGCTGCCAGGGAAGCCCCCACCATCGAGAGTGATGGCCTCACCGTTCAGACACTCCATCTCGGGCTCCTCGCCCTCCGGGTGCTTCTTCAGCCTCTTGGCTTTCCTCCGCTTCTTGCAGTAGAACATCAGCCCCAGCACAATAATAATGTAGGCGACAGCTGCTCCCACCGACAGCCCGATGGTCTGGATCATTTTGTAGGGCGTGTGGCTGCCGAGTCCCTCATCTTCTTCTGCTGCCGGCTTGTCTGTGGGACAGAGAGCACCAAAGCCATCAGGGCACAAAGGGATTTCTCAAACCCTCCTCGAGAATGTGCTGAGGGAAGCAGTGGGGCCCGCGATGGCAGGAGGCCACGTCCCAGCACGGGGCACCTCCCTCACCTACAACATAGAGGAAGGCCTCACGGTGCTTGATGTTGCAGCTGTTGCCGGCAATACAGGTGTATTTTCCAGAGTCCTCGGTGGTGACATCGTAAATGACCAGGGAGCCATTGGGCATGATCTGAATCCTGCCAACCACACAGAGCCCTTTGCACACATGAGAGGGCACAGGCAGGCTTGGGGCACCTGCAGCCTCGTATCCCCAGGACAGCACTGCCTCATATCCCTGCTGTAACAGCTGTGCATCCCGTGCCATGCAGTGCCCAAGAACAATCAACGAGCTGAAGATAAGAGAGCCCAGGCCCCCGGATATGGAGACAACTGACTGTGTGCCCTTCTAGCTAGGGACAAGGGCTGAATCCTGTCCCAGTTGGAATGGAGGCTGTGTACCTGGGCAGAAGCTTGCTGGGATCCAAAATCTTGTCTTTCCCTTTCCACTGGATATGTGGCACGGGGTCCCCCTCTGCCTGGCACTGGAACATGGCTGTGTGCCCCTGGTACACAGTTGTAGGCTCTGGTTCCAGCTTGAAGGTGACATAAACTGGAGGCAGAGAGGCCGACATGGAGGCTGTCAGCTCCTGGGAGCGACACTGAGCACAAGCAAGAGGGCAGGGCCAGCACAGCAGCATGGCACGTGCCCTCTAGGGTTGTACTCAACACATTGGCAAACCAGATACTCAAGCAGCATGGGGCAGAGCTTGGGGTCAGGCCAGACATCTCCTCCCTTGGAAGGACATGCCACCTACCCAACTGCCACCCAGGAGCCCCAACAGAACAGGAAAGCTTGCTCAAGAACCCTCACCTGCCACCACCAGCTGCACAGTGGCACGGATCTCACCCTGTGGGTTGTTGGAGGCAATGCACGTGTAGTTTCCTGAGTCGCTCCTGCTCACCTTGTGGAAGGACAAGATGCCAGCTCTGTGGCTGACATGGGATGGCAGGCTACTCCCATCTGCAGGACGGCAAGAAGAGGGATGTAGCAGCCACAGGTGATACACTGTGCCACACAGCAGCTTCCCCCCATCTGAAGTGGGCCAACACAAGTTCAGAAGCCATATGGACATGGTCCTGGGTGAGCAGTTCTAGGTGGCAGTGCTTGAGCAGTTGGAGCGAACAGCCTCCAGAGGTGCCTTCCCATCTCAACCATTCTGAGAAGCTCCCGGTATCCATATAAAAGACAGACAGATCCCATCTAAGTCCCCTTCACCTGTTTTAGTCCACTGGATGGTGGGTTTTTCCCGGCCAGTGGCTGAGCAGGACACCGTAACCTCCTTGTTGAACTCCATGCACTGCAGCGGCTGGGGTGGAGGGGTGAACTTTAACTTCTCTGCAAGAGACAGAGGTGCCGTTAGGTGCCCTGGCCACGGGAGGCACCAAAGGCTTCCCTGCAGGCAAGAGAGCTCCCTGCATGGAATGGACACCAAGTGCTTGCCAGCATACCTAGCACGTGCACCCGTGCGTATCCCTCGATGCTGCCCGCCGGTGTGCTGCTCACACACTTGTACATTGTCCCATCATACACCTCCACGTTGTTGATGCGCAGCGTCCCGTTCTCTGAGATTTCAAAGCGTGAGTCCTGCCCAGAGGTGGGGTAGGGAGGCAGAAACGACAGTTATCAGCACTGGGCTCAGACCCTGTCCGTGGCACTCTGTCAATCCAGGGCTTGGCCACGCCAAGTCCTAGATAGGGGCAGTCCTGCGCAGACCCATTTCTCCAACCACCATCCCGTGAGCACAAGGCTGGCTAGGGACAGCCCTCTGAGCCCCCAGGTGCCAGGGGGATGGAGGTAGAGTCCGAAGCAGCACCAGGCATTCTGGACCTGAGCACAGTGCAAAGAAAAGCAGCCATGGGGGCTTGCCCTGTCACCTCACCTCAGAGATGGAGACGCCATTGCGGTACCAGGTGACTGTAGGTTTCAGGGAAGCCTTGCTGAGGCAATGCAGGTATCCTGGTTTGCTCTCCTCCAGCTGGCTGTCCTTGGGCATCTCCACCCACTTGGGTACCGCTAAGCATGGAAACGAGGGGTCACACAGGTCTATTCACCACCCCTCCATCCAGCCAGTACCAGCTTGGCCAGGATAGGCAGTTTGCAACCAGTCATGAAACATGCAGGAATGCCACATCCCACCCCAGCTCTCCCCGACCACCCCTTCAGCCCCTTCCAATGCTCCCAGCCCTCCTCAGAAAGCTGCCTACTAGCCACGGTGATGCTCAGCTCCTGTTTCTTCTCCCCAGCCTTGTTGGCAGCATGGCACGTATAGGTCCCCGCATCTGCCTCAGTGATGCTGGTGAAAATGAGCTGCTCTGCCTCTTGGTACACCCTGCCAGCAGTGGGGACCCGCTCCTGGTTTCTCTCCCACCAGACCTGGGGCATGGGTACACCCCGTGGGGCAGCACACGACACACGGTGCCCCTGGTTCGCCGTCAACACCTTCGGGGAGAAGGGTGCCATCTCTTCGATCTCTGAGAGGAACAACAGACAGCTGGGCTCAAACAGGGCAGCGTGGCCATCCCGCCAGCATTGCTGTCCCCACAGGAGCCACCAGCCAAGGGAAAACGTGCACAAGCTATATGTACCAGCTTACTGGCCTGTTACTATGTGATCCCACAGCTCAAGAGGGTCAGTGCAGCTATGAGACCCACTGCCCACCCTGTCACCAGGACCTCACCTGCCAGCCGCAGAGTCGCCTTCAGCACGAGAGTTTTGCCCTTCTGCCCATGGCCAATGCACTTGTAGACACCGGTGCTGCGGGCCTTCACCTGGGTGATCAGCAGGGAGCCATTGGCAAACACAGTTGTCCTGGGCATGAGGGGAGAAGCAGACCTCAGGAGGCGTTTCTGCAGGACGTGGGGCAGAGCCAAAGCCCCGTGATGTCCCACAGCAACCCACAGAACAAATGGGGAGGTCTTTGTGCCAAACCAAGGCAAGGGAAGCAGAATGAAGGAGGAAGTGAGATGCAGGCTTCATCAAGGAGATGTGATAAGAGAAGTCTTTTCCTTGGAGCAGAGCTGGCTTCCAGAAAGATGCACCCCAAAATGAGCCAGCTCCAAAAGATGGCTCAGCCAGGAAAGGGAAAAAGGGGCACAAGGTGGCGCCCAGGAGCTGCCAGGCCATGGGGCATGTGGCCCCAGGTGGCACCGCTTGCCTGGCACAGTCCCTCTGAGACATCTCTGGCCCAACATCCCCATTACAGGCAACCTGGCTGGGCTGGGAGATGCATGGGGATCACCATGCATGGGCAACCTCTGCAAGGACATCCTAGGCTGCAGGGATCACAGCACACATGGGTGTTTGGGGCCCACAAGCGTTTCTGGCTTTGGGAGTCACCACATGCAGGCAGCTGGAGCTGCAAGACAGCCATCAGCCCAGTGAACTGCCACGTGCATGCTGGAGGCTGGGAGGCATCCCTGAGCCTGGGGAACACCACTTGTGGGTGTCTGGTACTGGAATGTGTCCCTGGCTCTGCGAACTGTCTTGAGTGGGTGTCTGGGGCGCTGGCTCCATGAATCACCATACACAAACATTTGTGGCTGGGAGACATCCCCAGTGCTGGGGATCGTCACACACAGGCATCTCAGACTCACAGCCTCACAGATTTCTTCAGGAACAAAGCATTTTGTAAGTCTTTCGCTGATGAAGGCTCCACATAAGGAACAAGGCTATGTCAAACCCAAATCATCCAAGCTGAGAAACCAACTCCAGTGGCCAGCCTGATGTTGAACACTTGCCCTTGGGCATAGCCAGCATTTGGCCTCTCTCATTTACTTCTGGTGCCCCCTCCCCACTCTTCCCAGCCCTGCCCACATCACTGGGGTCCCTGTTACTTGGATCTGTTGGTGATGGGGCTGTCTTCAAAGAGCCACTCCTGCGTGGGAGGGGGCACGGCTGCAAACTGGCAATCAAACATGGCCTCTTCGTTCTTGGTCACGATGAGGTCCTGCGGGACGATCACCGCCTGGGGGAAGCTCTCATCTGCAGCAACAGAGACCACCAGAGGGTAAGAAAAGCAGAGCAGCCCGCAGCTTAACACTGTGCTTCAGGAAACCCAAAACAGAGCCCCCGGCCCAGACACTGGGGACATTGGGGACACGACTCACCGATGATATTCAGTGTGAAGTTGTCCTGGCTGCACACGGAGCCAACGGCGCTGCGGGCACAGCAGTAGTAGAGACCGTTGTCATCGGGGCTGGCGCTGCGCAGGGTGAGGGTCCGCTCCTTGCTGCTGACAGAATAGGTGCCGCGGCCGTCGGGGAGCGGAGCGCCGTCCCGAAACCACTGCCATGTGGGGCTGCGAGACAGGGGCGAGAGGGTGAGCGGGCGCCGAGCGGCTGCTGGGCTCCCTGGCGAGTGGGTGTGCGGAGGGGACAGCCCAGAGATGGCCCTTTCCCTGGCTCTCCGCTCCCACCACTGGCCCCGACACACACACGAAGCTATGAGACATGCAGCCAAGTGGACGGGACATGATCGGAAAGCGACGGAGAGTGACCGCAGCACACCAAGCAGCGCAGCGACCAGGCTGTGACAGCCCGTCCTTACTGTGCTCCTCGCTACGCGGCTCCGAGGAAGCCGTTTGCCTTCTCCCCCGGTGCTCGGCCGCAGGCTCAATCCTGCTTTTCGCCTTCCCTAGACTCTACTGCGTCCTCGCAGGAGAGAGGAGGAGAGAGAGACAGAGAGAGGGGAAGAGCGCGCGGCGAAGGCGCGGGGGGGACCTCCGGCCGGGCTCCTTGGGAGGCAACCCTTACCGCGGGTGGCCGTCGATGTGACACCGCAGCACCACCGTGGAGGAGGGCTGGATCTCAGCTGCGCTGGCCGGCTGCTTCAGCACCACGCCGCCCGTCTCGATCCCTGCGCGATCAAAGGAAGCCTCAAGCGGCTGGTTCTTGAGCACAGCTGGGTGCCGACGCAGGAAAAACCAGGCAGCTTGGTGCAAAGGGACACCACCCTGCAAATGTCTCTCTCTGCCCTGTGTAGCTGTTCCTTAAGGGATGAGATGGGCTCTGAAAGGACCTGCAGCGCTCAGGACGCGCTTGGTGCTTTAACATCCCCATTTCATCTATACAAATGGGGAAGGCAGCATCTCTGAGAGCCCTGGCGACATCAGAAGATGTAAAGGCCTAGAAGGCATGATGGATGTGTGGGCTGGAGAGGGATCATTTAGGTTGGAAAAGACCCTTAAGATCATCAAGTCCAACTGCCAACCTAACATTTCCAAAGTATGTCTCAAAGTACTCCAGACACGCACTTCTTAAACACCTCCAGGGATGGGGGCTCCACCACCTCCCTGGCAGGCTGTTCCAACACCCGGCCACCCTTTTCCTGAAGAAATTCTTCCTGATATCCAATCTAAACCTCCCCTGGTACAACTGAAGACCATTTTCTGGCACCCCAGTCACCTGGCCTATGCTGTGCTTCCTCAGCCCTTGTCCAACTATCACCCCACACACCAGCAGGCATTCCCAGTCCCACACCCTCCCAAGAGAGCACCGTGCCCTTGCCCCAAACTCACACTTGATATTGAAGGACGCATTGGCTGTGCGAGCCTCCTCCCCGGTCTGCACGTTCCTCGCCACGCACTGGAAGCTCCCAGCATCCCGATGCCGGTCGACAGCAGCAAACTGGAGGTTGCTGCCTTCCTTGAAGCGCTGCTCCGTGTCCTGGATGGGGAGCCCGTTCTGCAGCCACTCAAATTCCACATAGGCCGGCTCCTCCACCTCGCAGCGGAGGATGGCACTGCGGCCATGCAGGGCGTCCTGTGAGTACGGCTCCTTGGCAAAACGGATGGCTGCCTGAGCCCCCACCGCTGCAGGACAGAGAAAGGAGGGCACACTTAGAGCACGTGGATGCACAGAGAGCAGTGGGGAAGCACTGCCACTCACACTGGTCTCTAGTTTCTAGCTGAAAGTGCAGCATGAGGAGAAACATCTGCCAAAGCACAATCCCCTGTAGAGCTCATCAATCGTGGCTACTCCCGCACCTACATTCAAAGAGGTTTGGTGCTCTAAGGCTCTCACCTCCCAGCAACTGTGGAGAGGGCTGCTTTGAGCCAAGCACAGGTCCATGGGGTTCCAGCTGTGGCTGCTGCATGTCCAGCCTGCACACGGAGGCATCTCACAGCATCCAGACTAGGGATTCTGCTGCCAAAAAGCTGGATCTTTGGGCAGCTCAGGTATTTGCACCCCTCCTGATCTGCTTCTTTGGGACATACCCTAAGCCTTAACCATGCAGCAAGATCATCCCAGAGCAGAACACTTGAACTATTTCCAGGCTTTCCTCAAACCCTCTCTCCTTGGGACCACGACTCTATCTCACATACTCAGATATTACCTAGCAAAAAACTGCTCTGGAACAAGGATCACCCCTGGGAATGAACATAGCTGCTGGAGCACAGCGCAGAGCATCTACACTTGCCAGCTGAAATCTAAACTAGAAATTGCAGTGGCTGACCACAGGGCCCGATAGCAGCCACGGGGTGGCTCTGGATGGCTGGAAGCATCTCTTTGCAGGGAGGAAGCAGGCCACTAGCCCCAAGCCCCACCCAGCTGTGAAGCCTGAGCTCATTGAGCAAAAGACACGAGCGAGCAAAGCCATGCTGCAGCTTCCTGCGGCGCTGGAAAACCCAAGCATCCTCCCTCCAAACAACAAGCCTCAGTGCCTGGGGGACCTGCAGACAGCGCTCAGTGTGGCTGCTGGGGACAGCACCAGCGTTCCGCTGTCCGGCTGCCGCCCGGCCGCAGCCAGCCATGCAGGCGCTCTGCTCTGGTTACCAGCTGGCCACAGAGAGGCGAGCAGACAAAGGGCAATTCAGCGCACGCCAATAGCTGCAGGGCTGTGCTCCCAGCACTGCGCTCTGTGAGGAAGGAAGCCAAGCCAGACAGATGTCGAACATCTTTGAAGTGCTCTCTCACGAAGGAGAGGAAGAAAGTGGCCGGAGCGATGTGCTCCCAGCTCTGCACGAGGACAGCTCTGCAGAGGGACAGGGAACGTGGACAAAGCTCGGTATGAGTTCCACAGGGGAAGCACGGATTTGATAAGATGCTAGGAGGCACTGGGATCCAGCTCCCTGGTGAAATAGGAGGAAGCATTTGTGTCTTCCAACCTCAGAAACGGACGCAACCAGCTCAAGTCAGGTGAGATCCATGCCATGAACAACCTCATCGAGTGCGCCTGCCAAAGCAAACTGGGATAAGTAAGCATCAAAGCGCAGTAAGAGCCAGAGACCTGTGCTGTGTTCTGACAGTGGCATCCAAAGTGCCATGGAAACACTGGCTGCATAAGCTGGAACCCAACGAGTGAGATTTGGGCTGTAAGGAAACATGGGATGTGGTTTAGCAGCCATCACGGTTATGGGCATGTTGGACTAGCTGACCGTGGAGGCCTTTTCCAATCTTAATGATTGTATGGGTAGCAGCTGGATATGGAACAGCCATTTGGAAGTAGAAGACACCAGAAACCCAGAATTGGACGCTCTCAATTCACAGAAGCAGAGCCCAGTGTTTGGAGAGGGGAAGCAGAGCCCTCAGCATCATTGTGGCACAGCAATGGTCACATAGGGCTGAGCTGCTGGAGTCCTCCAGAGTGACCCCAGTTGGCAGATGAGAGCTCCTGCAGCACCTGGGTGGGGGCAGAACTGGCTCCGCTCTGTCTGATCAGACGTCTCCACCACGGCGTGCGACTTCACAAGCTAATCCAGGCTGGGCAGCATCGCCACCTGAAAAAATACTCATGCAACACCACTTCTACTATGTGCACAGGAAGCCAGCTCAGTAAACCCAAGCCAGAGCAGAGCCCTTCCCTCGTAGTGTGGCTGGGCCCAGCCAAGCAGCTCTTCTAAATGCGCGCGCTGGCAAGCACCAGTGAGCTGCATGTGCATGTGACACAAACCATCCCCGGCTGGGGGAAGAAACCCTCAACACATGTTTCTGGCCTAAAATCATTTTAGCTGTGGCTGCACAGAGCTCTTCAGGAAAGCTTCAGCCCAGTTGGATAAATGTGGTTTTAAACTCAGCACGCTTGCAAACACCCAGCGCAGTTTCACCCAAGGTGTATTTAATGGAACCATGGAAGCTTCCAGGTGAGGCAGCTGACGGAGGTTGAGTGAATGGTGCAGGAAAGCAGCACTGGTACCTGTGGGTCCCCTGGTGGCATTGCCAGACCCCACAAAGGGGAGGGACAGGCACCAGTGGGAAGAGGAGAGAAGGCTCCGCCACATGCCAGCTCCAAGTGCATCCTCACAGCAAGGATCCAGATCCAGGAACACAGCGCCTTTCATGCACTGAGATACTGCCCTGCTCAAAATTAGTTTCATCGCTTTAAGGTTGCAAACGGCAAATTCCCAGGAAAACACCCTCACGCAAACACTTGCATTTCTGGCTTGAATTGCCACCAAGCGGATCTCAATGCACCTTTTGGACTTGGGATGTCCCCAAGACTTGGCCCCTACACCTTCCTCCCAAACTCCACCAAGCCCATCTGGCTGCTGCAGCTCTGCACGAACCGAGGCGGCCAGGCAGCACAATCCCTGCTCCGCCTGGCGGGCCGCATCTTGAAGCCATCCGAAAAGATCATTGTCTCCCTGACTAACGACATCGCTGGGGAATGCAGCCTCGACCACAAAGCCCTCAGCTGCTGCACAGCCCTGATCCCTGCCGTGCCTGCAGCTCACCTACAGCCACGCTGGGAAGCAGAGCTGGGAGCGGGCAGCAGTGCTGCATGTCGCTTTGGGACATCCATGCCCCTCCCCACCAGGGGCCACCCATATCGTGGCATCAGTGAGCTGGGCAAGCTCTGGGCTGAGGACACAAGGGAATAAAGAAAGGACTCATATTATTCATTTTGACCCCCAAAAGCCTAGGTTAGCTGGCTCTTGAGACACCACGGCTGACGTAAGGATGTGAGTAATCCCAAAGCTGCTGGCCACCAAACATGCTAAAGGCATGAGAATAGGAATTAGGAAAAGGTTGTAAGGTTTCCTGGTTTGGAAAGGTCTGTGGGGATTCTGCAGCTTGCAGCTAGGCCACAGCAGTGCTATCCTGCAGCCTTGCCTCCCAGAGCGATTCCGCAAAGTTCACCCTGCCTTTGCCCTGCCACATGTGCAAGCCAGCTCCTTTAACACTGGGTAAGTGGATGAGAGGAACTACAATGCATCTGCAGCACTCAGGGCAGCAAAACACAGAGCATACACATTGCATGCATCCTCCCCAGAAGGGAACTATCTTCTCCCATCAGCAGGAAGCTCCACATCTGCTCAGCTGAAGAGGGCAAAAAAAGAAAACAAAAACCAACACCAAAGGTACCAGGATACAATGGAAAGAGCTGGGTGCAAAACCAGCCAGCTCCTCCAGGGAGTTGTAGCACAGGGCACGGCTGCCTGGCAGAGAGGACCTCAAACACTGCAGAAGGACCTGGGCACCCTGCAGTGACCACTTTTCTGCAGAGAGGAGGTACATCTGGGCACGTCTTTTTTGTAGTGCGGCACTCAGACCGCTGGCAGTGCTGGCGGTGAGGCTGTGCAGCACACAGCAGAGGGGACCGCCACTCCCCTCACCTGCAGGTAGCGTGGGGCCTGGTGCCTCCAGGGTACAGCTGCCCCTTCTGGCTCCAGGGCACACAGGTGGCACAGCCATCAAGGCAGCACCCCCCAGAGGCAGCCTTCATAGGAAAAGAGCATTCAACCTCAGCAGAAAGCACCGAGCGGCTCACCCTCGAGTCCCATGCCCCAGGGGGCCCAATGTGGGACAGGCATGGGCAGCCCCAATCTCAGGATCAAATCATCTCCATCGAGACATGGAAAACCACCCTTTTCTCTCTCTCCCCCCATGGAGGTCCATCACTCCAAACAGCCAGCAGCCATTCTTTCCTGCCAGCAGTGCCTTGCCACCAGGCAAGAACGGCACGCCAGCATCTGCTCTTTGTCCTGGCAAGGCTCTCAGTGTGTGCAGGGCCCCGGACAGACCTCCCATTCACGGCTCGAGCAAGCCATGTGTTTCCTGGCACAGTTCATTACAAACACGCTCCTGTAAATGCAGATTTTTGGCACGGAACGACACACGGGTCAGCTTTTCATCCCCTCCTGGTCTCAACCACAGAGCCAGCACACTCACTTGCACCAGCAAGGCAAGAAAAAAATCATTACAGCTGAATAACACAAGCAACTCCACTGCGTGGTGGGTTGGTCCCTACAGCCACGTAAAGCAGCCGCTCAGAGCGCGCCTGCTCCGTGCACAGTCTATTCCACTGCTTAGCAGATACTGCAGAAACAGCAGCCAAGCCAAACACCCAGAGAGATTTGCATCTCCAAATGATTTCCAGCCAGCACGTTCCTCTCTGCGAGAGGCTCCAGTTGAGAAAGCCTCTCAAATGGGTCGAGTTGCAATAAACCCCTCTCCCCCGCCAGGCCAGATGGAAATGGTTTGATGCAGGCAAAGAGCTCCGAGCATGGCGAGTCTGGTCTGAGCAAGCTCGACATCTGGAACGCCTTTGGGCACCCATCATGTTAGCCTTTTAAAACCACAATGTGTCCCACTCTAGTTAAAGTAAAAAGAAAAACTTGCCTCGTGCCTGGGAAAAAGATTATCCCTATGTGAGTCGCCAGCACAGCTGGACGGGTCCAACCCCACGTTTCCAAGAGATGCTGTGCTAGAGTGGCTCTGGCTTCCAGCACCAGGAGCTCCAAGGGCAGGCCAAGACAATGAGGGATGCAGGAAAACACTCTCTCTTTGTCCCTTTGGCCATGCCACACACCTGGCAACCAAAAGGGACCAGAAATTCTTCCAAGAGTCCTGTCGCAAAGCACCCAGATATGCAGCCTTCCAAGTGGGATTTACTGATCCAGAGATAAAGCAACCCAAGTTCAAAGTACACACAGAGGCATCCCAATCCTGTAACAGCTGGAAGCATCTGCTCATCTCACAGTACATCCCACAGTTTGGCTTGGGTCCCAGATGAAAACTGCAGAGCTGGATCACTCCTTCCTCACCTCCATCCCTGTGTGACAATGCAAGACTGCATTTGCACCAGACCCGGGCCACCACAGAACATCACGGCCCACAGCAGGAACCCTGCAATGCACGGCAGATGCAGGCCCTTGTTTGGGAACATCTTGGCTCCCTGCAGAACATCGAGCCTCAGCTGCTCCGTGGTGGGGACCACAGCACCTCTCCCCACCAACCTCCGCACACAGGGCAACCACCAAGAATTCCACTCAACCCTTCAAATCAAGCTTGAGAATTAAGAAAAAAAAGAAGCAGAAAAAAACCCTATAAACATGTAGTGCAATTCCCATTAGCCTCCCCAGCACTGTTCAGAGAGACTGGGAGCTGCGGGGATTCTCTTCCCCATGGCTAGCAACTCTCCCTGCCTTTCCAGGGCCCGTCCTCAGGAATGGCACAGCCAAATTTCTGAGCACTTACTGCACGAAAGCAGAACAAAGCCACCGGGGGGTCGAGGGCTGTAAATCAGTCATGGAGGCAGTGCTCACAGCACTGTGCTGGGGGCAGCTGGCCGTGGGAAGGGGAACAGTCCACCCCACGCAGTTCAGAAGCAGGAACAGGAGCTGCTCAAACATCCACTGTGGGAGAACATCCCAGTACCAACCCAGAGAAAAGCTCTGCACGAGGACCAGCTTACCTGCGTGGCCTCCAGGCAGCAGGATAAAAGCAGAGCCACCCAAAACAACATGGCTGAGGACAGGGTGGTGGTGGGGAGCAAGGTCCAGAACAGCACCAGGATCACCGCTCTGAACCCATGGAGTGATGAAGCCTTTCTGGAAGGTTCCTCCTCACTCTCAGAAAGAGGAGGGCTGCTCCCAGTCTGGTGGGACAGCCCGCATGCTAGGCAGGTGGTCTCCAAGGCCAAGGGATTCATTAGCAGTCTTGGTTTGATGGCGGATGCCCAGCACCTTGCTCCTGCAGTGGGGATGCTACACCAAGCCAGGGAATCCCAGCAGCTACGGCGGCTCCCACAGCTGGCTTGGGCTGCTGAACCAGCACAGTTGGCCTCGGTCAGAACAACTCCCCGGCCATCTGGAAGGCAGGCTGACACTGCTCTGAACCATGCCCTGCGCGCAGGGCTGTGCCCATCCTCCTGGCAGCTGTCACAAGAGGATGCCTGGGCATCCCTGGTGGGAGCAACTCCAGGGAAAGGATGCAGTGCGCAGGGCTGTGTGGTGGCCCACAGCCACCCAAGCCCAGCTAGCCTTCTCGCACCACGAGGCACAGATCTCCGAGCCCACTGTCCCTGCAATGCAGAGGATCACCGCAGAGAAGTACATCAGGTGCTGCCCGACCTTCAAGCTGAAGCCAGAGCCAATACCACCAAGCCCACGAGACAGAGCAGCAAGCAAGATGAGAAGGCCGCAAGCCTGGCGGTTGGAGCTGGAAATCCTGCTGGCTCAATTAAACCCTCCTTAACGGCCCGTCAGCCAAAGGCTCCCGCGCAGACCTCGTGTCGGCTGGGCTGCCAAGCCCCAGTGAGGAGCACGCATGCTTTGAGGGTGACTCAGCACCAGCGCTGAGCTCACTGCACCCACTGGTGCTGCCAACTGACTCTCCCAGGCGCTCTCGGAGCCCTCCAGCAATTCCCTGGCCTCCTCAGGAACGCTGATTTATGGCTGACGCGTGCTACCAGCAGCACGCAGCAGGTTGGAGACACATCTGGTCTGGGTGGGTTGAACAGAAGCCAGCAGAATGCCCAGGTGGCCAAGAAGCCTGCATCAGAAATAGCATGGCTAATAAGACTAGAAGGTGAGCATCCCTCTGCATTGGCCGCACCTCGAGTGCTGTGCTCAGTGCTAGGCCCTCACTGCAAGAAAGACACTGAGGGCTGCAGCGTGTCCAGAGAAGGGCAGCAGAGCTGCGAGGGGTCTGGGGCACAAATGTGATGGGGAGCGGCTGAGGGAACTGGGGATGGTCAGGAAAAGGACAACAGGAGTCACTGCTCTACAAATGCCTGAAAGGAGGCTGCAGCAAGGAGAATGTCAGACTCCTGCCCCAAGTATTGAGAAGAAACGGTCTCAAATTGTGCCAGGGGAGGCTTAAGTTGGGCATCATTAAGAATTTCTTCATGGAAAGGGTGGTCAAGCACTGGAACAGGCTTCCCAGGGAAGCAGCAAGCCCCCCTCCCTAGAGTTGTTTAAGACATGTGTGGATGTGGCACTAAGGGACATGGTTAAGCAATGGGATGCAGTAGGTCTGATGGACAGCTGGACTTGGTCATCTTGAAGGTCTTACCCAAGCCAGATGATTCTGCGATTCCACGATCCTATGAAGGCAAGGCTTTCTGGCTGACACAGCAAGGCTGTTTTGTTTCTCTCCCATTAAAGGAAACACAGCAGACAGATGTCAAGTAAAGTCAGGATGAGCCATGTGCTCCCTGCACTGTGGCCTTGAAGTATGGCAAAATGCTTCCCCAAAATTAAATGAGGGCCCTCGAGAATGCAAAAGTCATTACCGTGCAAAACCCCTTGGGTGGTGCAGGAGAGCTCAGGTGACAATGAAGGGCCAGGAAAGTCCTGCCAGCACCAGAGATGGCTCAGGGCACAAGGAGAGACCCTGCAGCAACCAAATTGCATTGCATCATCTTCATTTGCTCAACACAGAGCAGAGGAGCAGAGGGGAGGCCTGATGGCAGCTGCAGCTCTCCCAGGGAGCAGAGGGCAGCGCTGAGCTCTGCTGTCTGTACAGCGACAGGGCTGAGGGAACGGCATGGAGCTGCGTCAGGGGAGGGCAGGTGGGGGTGAGGGAAAGGCTGTGCCCCAGAGGGCGGTGGGCATGGCACAGGCTGCCCAGGGCAGTGGGCACAGCCCTGATGCCGGAGCTCAGGGAGCGCTGGGACACCACTGACACTGGGGCTGGGGTGCTGTGTGGGGCCGGGGGTTGGGCTTGGGGGTCCCTTCCAGCTTGGGGTGTTCTGTGATTTTATGAAAGCTCTTTGTCAGACCTCGGTATTTGCTGTTGATTGTCATGACTGCTGATTTATTCATTCACTGCTGGTGGCCTCTGCCTGAAGCTCTCCTGTTCTTGTTAAGTCACACACCTCGTCTAATCTCTCATATGAAAGTTTGCAAAATGAGTTGGGTCCATTCCAACTCCAGATATTCCACAATTCTGTGACCACTCAAGAACTTGTCTCATGATAATCAGGACCAGAACCATCTAGGCCTGAAAAGACCTTCAAGATTTCCAAGCCCAACCATGACACATGACCTACCAGGTCACACTAGCATCATGGTAGCTGTCACTGCTGTATCTTCACCCCCTCACTCTGGCTCCTGTATCCCAAATCCAGCCAAGAAGGACTTTACAACAGTGCTGCATGTGTGGAGGGAGCCCCTGGCCAGGGCTTCATGCTTTCCTCCCTTCCTCATCTTTTCCAGCAGATGATGGGAAACACCAGACTAAGCTCTACAGAGCAGCCTGGTGCTCCCCTTCAGCAAACAGGAGCCCCAGCCAGCCCAGAGAACAGAAGCTCAAGCTGCAGAGATGAGAGAGGGATGTGGGGGGAGGAGGAGGAGGAGGCCAGGACAAGGGAAACATCACAAGGAGGGGAAGCACACAGCCAGGAAGGCTGGCTATTCCAT